TAAGTCATCAACATGGAGACACAATATAAACAATTTACTCTTGCTTCTTCTTACATATACTTCATTCTCAGTTGTGCACTTTACAAATTCATTCTCCCTTAGGAAACTATTTATCTTCTTATTCAAATCTCTTGGAGCTTGTTTGAGTCCATACAGGGTTTTATGCAGCTAGTATAATTTTCTTTCTTGGCCTTGTTTCACAAACTCGACCGGTTGTGCAACATACACTTCTTAATCTAAGGGGCCATTAAAGAATGCACATTTGACATCCATTTGACACATGTACCAATTTTTCATGTTTATTAGACCAACAACCAACCTGATTGTTTCGATTCTAACAACAGGTGCAAAGATTTCATCAAAGTTGATTCCTTCTTTCTGAAGAAATCCTTTCGGCATAAGTCTTGCCTGGGGATTTAACTTCACCTTGAATACCCACTTCACATCATTTTCCTTTTTTCCTTGAGGTAATTCGACAGGTGACCAAGTGTTGTTGACTTCAATGGACTTCAGTTGCTCATTCATCGCTTTCATCAATGTATAATCCTTCAATGTCTCAACTGCATTGACTAGTTTGACATATGCATAAAAATCATAGTGTACCAGCTCACCTTCATCATTGATCACATCATCTGATGTAGTCACACATTCCTGCAGCCTTGCAAGCATGTGTCTTATTTTTTTAGGTCTACTTTTGCTTACTTGACCTCTAACTTCTTGTTGAATTTCTCTTTCGACTTCACTTGCTGGTTCTTCACACAATATTGTCACTGAATACTTCTTTACATTTTTAGTCCAAACCCATTCTATAAGCTCGTCTCTGATCACGTCCCTATTGATCACTACTTGCTTGTTCACTGGGTCAAACAACTTGTATTCATCAATCGAATGATATTCTATTGGAACCATTTGACTCGACTTATCATTAACTTTTCTTCTCAAATAATTAGGCAAATGCCAATATGTTATAGATCCAAATACTTTCAGATGAGTTAAGCTAGGCTTGACACTATACCAACATTCTTCTAGCGTAATTTCTTTCAGCGTTTTCGGTGAACTTTTGTTCAAAATGTATGTTGCAGTCGAAACAACTTCTCCCCATAATTCTTTGGGTAGATTCTTATCTTTCAACATGCTTCTCACCATATTCATGATGGTTATATTCTTCCTTTTATCGGTTCCATTTTGTTGTGAAGTGTAAGGTGGCACTACCTCATGCACAATCCCTTTTTTCTAACCAATTAGTCGAAGTCTTTCGACATGTTTTCTCCACCACCACCACTCCTCAAAATCTCGAGCTTTCGACCACTTTGTATTTCAATCATCGATTTAAACTTGGAAAATACCTCAATCACTTCAATTTCCTTTCTGATCAAGTAAGTCTGCAATTTTTGACTAAAATCATCTATGAATGTGACAAAGTATTTGTTACCTCCAAATGAATCCACCTGGATAAGACCATATACATCAGATATATAATTTGAATAATTGTCTTCGACTTGCCTCATGCGTCCTTGCTGAAGATGTTCTTGTGTTGTTTGCCTGGACACATTCCTCACATACTTTATTTGGAATTTATTTCTGGTAACACTGAAACCATATTTCTTGTTTTTTGATCTCTAATATCTTTGAAGTTGAGATAGTCAAATCTATAGTTCCATATCCATTCATCCTTGCTAACTGCAGTTGCAAGGCACTTTTGCTCTATCACATTAAGTTCAATCTTGAAGGTTATATTCTGAGACATGAAAGTCTTCAAGATTAACCTTCCACTTGAGTCGAGAACCCCCATCATCTTGTTTTCAATCGCCATTTTGTAATTCTTTTTTTACCAACTTCCATATGTTGAGCAAATTACTTTCCATCACCGTTATCTACAATGGAAATTTCATACCTTTTGCCATCTTTCCTCATAATCACAACATCGCCAATACCTTCAGATGCTAGAGTATTGTCATTTGCAAATTTTACCTTGTTCTTCATCGAGGGTTTTATGTTGACAAATCAATCTTTCCTATCAGTCATGTGTGATGAGAATCCTAAGTCCAAGTACCATTGGTCGCTGAATTTTTCTTGTTGTGACCATCAACAACATCTCTTCTTCTTCATGCTTTGCCAACTTTGTATCATTTTCTTGATTCTTTTATTTTTAAGCACAACCCCTATAGTAATGACCATACTTATGACAATTGAAATACTGAATGTGATTTTTTTTCAGGTTTTCGTCATCACCTTTTCCTCTACATGCAACACTGCCTCTGTGGTTGCTTTGGTATGAAGGTCTTCTTTGATTCGACGAGTTTCCTTCTTGTTGGTTTCCTGTGTCATTCGAATTGTTGTAGCCTTCTATAACTTTGTTTTCAAACCATTTTCATTTGCCTTTCTTTTCTCTTGTTGATTGCGCCTGCAAAGCCACATCACTCTTCGACTTACTTGCAATTCTTTCAACCATTCTTTGTTCATGATATTCAAGTGTTCCTTGAAGCTCTTCCTTTGTCAATTTTGACAAGTCTTTTGATTCTTTTATGGCTACTACCATGTGATCTAATTTTAGAGCCAATGACCTCTAGATCTTTGCAACAACTGATCTTGATGTCAACATTTTTTCACATACCTTGACTTAATTCACCAATTTCGTAATCCTAGTGAAAAATAATTATGCTTTCATTTTCTCGACATCACTCAGTTTTTTAAAATTACTTATATCAATACATTGATGAATTATAAATAGAGCTTTTTAATCTTTCTTCTTCAATTCTTTATGCGCAATCTTTTCTTCATTTGTTGTGTTATCTGCAAGTGACGTCACTCATTCTTTAACAAGATTACACATGTCTTGATAATAGAATAAGATCTTTATATACTTACACAAATTATCATAATTCTTACCATTCAGAATTGGAAAACTTGCTGAAAAATGCTCGTTCGGATGATTTATCGCGATATGCTTCCCAAGAATCACACAGTTAATGCTGATACCAAATGTTGGAATTTCGACGAATCTCTTATTTTAAAATTTCACCCAAAACTTGGAGAATTCTGAATCAATCTTAATGAACAAAAATCAATTCTTCCGATTGATTTCATTCACACCTTGGTTGTAAGATGATTTCACTTCACAAAAATTTAAAAAGAAAAGAAAAGATGAATTGGGGAAGAAAAGATAAATTAGAATTTGATAAATAAAATAAAAAGGAAGAGGGAGAATACTTATGCAAAGTTTCTCTATGTCTTCAAACTGAAGTTTATTCAATATTTTCTCTATGGAACTGCATTTTACAATGATAGAGTATCTTCCTATTTATAAATTTAGATTGATTGCACACCAAACAATCTCCAACTAACCTAACTCAAATAAAAATACAAAATAAATCTAAACCTTAAATTTATGTCAAAGACACACTTCATCAACATTTCGACAACTATACAAATTTATATTCCGAATATTTTGATAACAACAGACTCTGTCAAAATTATGCTTTAACACCAAGAATTACACTTTCAACACAAAGTTCATTGATTACACAAAAAAATTAGATATTTTGATCAAATATCCAACAATTTTTTAAAAAAATTTGGTATTTTGATAGGTAAACATGGAGTTTTTGTAAACATTCAATATTTTGAACCAAATATTCAAACAAACACTAAATTTAAAAAAAAATTAACAAAAAATAATAGTTTTATTGATTTAACGATATTATAGTAAAATTGTAGGCAACTTAGGAGTGCCAAAAATAACATTCAGTGTGCCAAATCCTCCTCTATTGTAAATTTTTTAATTGTGAATGTTGATCCAAAGAGCATTTGAATAAAAATTTCTACATATCTTTTAAAATCCAAGATTCTTGTTCAAAGATTTTAAAAATAAAAAAGGAACAGATATCTTTTAGGATAAATATTTTTTACTTAAAAAAATAAGATTAATATCAAATTTGTTTATATGTATTGATTTTTTAAAGAAGTGAATCATAGCCATATGTTAACTGAATTTGGATGAATAATCTGGATTTTATTCGAATGCAAGAACAGAAAGTCTCTCAACCAAATGAATTAATTCATTATTAATAGCTTTATATGAATTGCAAAATGTTGATTGTGTTCTTATACTTCATTAAGTTAAACATTTGACAGTAATCTTCATGGAATGCTGTTGACATTTTCAAACTTGATGATGGGGTAAGGCTATGCTATGGTAAGAGTATGATGCTCACTTTAATCTCATAGGATCATTGTATTATTATATAGACCAAACGAACACTGTTTCCCCAAAGGAACATCATGTGACTCCTATATCAATTAATAGCACCAACAAATGACCATCAAACACTGCAATTTATGCTCAGTTTTGCACAACTGAGAAGGCAACTATCTGGCTTATGCCAGGCCCGACTAGAACTGTATTATGTGTTCAACTAACAACAAGAACCAATTCCAATTGGATTGTGCAATAGACCTGATGACAAAAAAAAACATATTGGTCACTGCATTTAATATAAGTGCAACTAATGTACTACTGCAAAACTAAGCTAATAATTACACGTTTCTGTTGAACAAGCTACTCTATAGAACCAGGTATATCAATGAGATGGTAAATAACACCTAGTGTCTATACATAATGCAATAAGATACAAGGCAGTTCCGTAAAACTCATGTAGAACCTTCTCATTCTCAGGGATTGTTAAGTGACTACTTACTTAGGCCCTAAAACTCTAATTCACCTGTAGCAACCTCTTGATAATCATATCAGTAAAAGCTCCCCTACATCAACATGCATGAAAAAGCAGGTACACATTGCTTCTACATTCAAATCCAAAATAGGATGGCCACCTTCAATAGCAATATATACAGAAAACCAACTTGTCAGGCAAACCTAAAACTCTCATGTACAAATCCAGTCAGCATTCCATGAGTATTCTTTCATAGTTAGCCACAAATATTTGCAAGCCTCCAATTTCCGAAACATGAAACTTAATATAAAAATACCATACTGAAGTTATCTATACAACTCGAACCCATGTTCCACCACACATGGGGCAGCCATATGCCCATCTGCTGATCCACCAGAATTCCCTGTCACTCTGACCAGGAGATGTAGTAGAACTGGGAGAAGCAAAAGCAGAAGTCTGCCGCTGACATCTTATGCACTGCATAATGGAAGTAAACAAAGTCACAGAAAAGAATATACAGGCAGATTATTTGATTAAAAATATCACATCTTTTTTAATTAAAAAATAAATAAACAAGAGTCATTTACTAATTTAAAATTTTAAACAAGGGAATGACTTTGCTTCCAAAATTGATTATGACAGACTAATTGACAATAACAAGTCTGACACTTTAATTTACCAGCCACTATCAATACTTAAAAATTTGCAATAATAACGTCAGGGATACAGAACTCTTGGACCAGACACAATATATAATTTAAAAACAGGAAGAAAAAAAAAAGGTCAAGTACACGAGTAGTTTTCACATGATATTAAACAAATGGTCAAGAAATGTTTGAACTCACTATACCAAGTCATCAGAAAGTTATTTTGGATTTCAGCAAACTGCACCGAGCTTACAGTTTATCTACATTTTAACTATATTTTTCTTTAGACTGAGGGATTAGTTAGATATATAAAAGCCATCATCGGACTATTGACTGATTAATTAACCTATAGCTATAATCTCTGAAAGGAAGTGGTATAGAGTCAAATGTCTACTCTTTCAACCCCCATGCTTAAATGTTAGACAAAGCTGAACAGAGTAAAACCAGGATGCTCGCGGTCAATGATTCCATCTTTTATGTTTAGATCAATCTAAAGCTGCTGCATGTCAGGTTTTTTTCTGTCAAGTGACAAGGTTCATCAGAATTATTTTTCAACTCACAAGCACTACTACCATTGTAGAACACCAACACAAGAACAACTATCACCAGTAAAATAATATATATATATATATATATATTTCTCCAATATGTCCATCAAAGTGTTATGAACCAATGAAGAAAACTACTTACTCGGTGTTTCACATTACTAAAGAAATTATAAATGCACATATGGACATAAAACAATAATAAATAAACAATATATATTTTTCTAACCTTGTACCAAACCCCTTCAAGGCCAGTTTTCCAAGTTGCGGTAACAACATCTCTCCGAGATCCCATTATACCAAGATAAGCACCCAAGCCCACAGAAGTGTTCAACCCAAAAGCTGCATCTCTTTCAGACAGCCTACGCTTCCTTGGCCATAAGTGATGAGTTCCATAGTAGGCATCACAATGCTCTATTGAGCTGAAATCAAGTGGATCAGAACAAACAACTTTAGGTTGATCATTTGCACAATCCATATCCTCGGGATCAGACCATGGTCCACCAAACATATTCCGTCGATGCCACTCTTCTGCTGGAGGGTGAAGTTCTAGCTCGCGTAGTAGAAGACCAGCAGCATCTGCACCTCTGGGACGGGGCATATTCTGCATATTTTATTGTATTTCAGCAAGGATTGTACACCCAAAAGAAAGAACAAAGAGAACCAAACAAAAACAATTAACTAGGAATAAAAACTTAACTTCCAACCATCAAAAGCAACAAATTATGTTGTATCACCGAACCAGAAATAAAATTGTGCTGAAAACGGAAATCCTTGTGTAAAGAAATATAATTAAGCCATTTTCCAGCCTTGTTATATATCACCAATGCAAATCAACAATGGAATAGTAGAAGGCTGATGAAATATCATGAAATACCAATCTTTAATTCAACAACAACCAAGCATTATCCTACTAAATAGGGTCGGCTACATGGATCAACTTCCGCCATAATGTTCTATCCAGAACCATGTTTCTATCCAGATCGTTAATCTCAAAATCTTTCTTAATAATTTCTCTTATAGTTTTTCTAGGTCTTCCTCTACCTCTAATTGTTTGACTCCTCTCCATCTAATCAACTCTCCTTACCACAGAACTTACAGGTCTTCTTTCTATATGATCAAACCACACCCAAGTCTATTTTACACCACCTTTTCTACTATAGGTGCTACTCAAACACACTCTAATATTGTCAGTTCTAATCATATCATGCATAGTAATGCCACATCCAATGCAACACTCTCATCTCTACTACACTTACTTTATTCTCGTGTTAACTCTAAATTGTCCAACGTTCAGTTTTGTACAACATCGCAGGTCTTATCGTAGTCTGATAAAATTTTCCCTTCAGCATGAGCGTTACCTTTCTGTCACATAAAACTCCTCAAGCCCTACTCTATTTCAATCACCCCGCTTGAATTTGATGTTTTACATCCCCTTCTAATTCTCCATTGTTTCGTATTACCAATCTTTAATTCGTTTCACAAAAATAATACATTTAAATTAAGTAGAACTATATGAAGTTACCTGCATATGCGGACCAAGGGATGCCTCCACAACCTCAGGCAGTACAGTATAGTTCCCATCAATATAATGCAGCCGAACTTGAATGTTGCTGCTCCCTACCTGAGATACTGGTAATGGGTGTTGCAGCCCAGCTGTTCGGCGACATAGTTCCATAAGCATCATAAAAAGCACCTTGACCTGCATTAAAAGCACAGTAAGAAAAGTAAAATTACAGTCTACTTTATAGTCTCAGATAGTAAAAGTAAGAATACAACCCTAGAAACAAGTTTATGTAAGTCATAAATCATAAAAAACTTGGATCATTCAGATAAGTCACAAAATTTATCACTTTATAACTTATACCTCTTCAAACGTATATCCTTGGCCAGCATTTCCACTACCCAATCTTGAACGTCCAGAAGGTGCTTCTTCACTTCCTTTTGGCCCAGACATAAGCTGACCAGATCGTCCCATCAGACCATCTTCTGTCTTGGCCACGGTTGAAACTGGCTTTGCAATCTCCTCCACTTTGCCAGAAGCAGGAGCATTAGATTTCTGTCCAGTTGTATCGGTAGTTCTATTTGCAGACCCCATATAGCGAGGAAGTAGAGTTCGTCGAAAGAAAAAACAGAAGAGCAAAAGTTGGCATAGTCTGTGAAGGAAATGACAGTCTCCAATAAGTCTAACTGCAGGTGTTCCGGGAAATGTTCCTGTATTAATGCTAATAGGCATAAATGATGAAGGGCCGCTGATGGGATTAGGAGTTGGGTTCGACCCTCCGTCAGTTGTGTTGCTAATCTTGGCAATAGCCCCTTGTACCCAGGTCTGCAACTGTGTGCTTCCCATAGAGCTGGTGCCGCCATTTTGACCTCCTGGAAAATTTTAACATTTGAATTTGATATTTAAATTGTAAGGCAAAAAAGATCACACACCAATGGTGAAATTATTAATGCAGTTCAGAGAAGATAACTGATTATTTTCTACAACCATCACAGGAGAAGCACTAAATTTATGCGTCTAACGTAGATCCGTTATGATATGATGTTTGAAAACAAACAAAAAGGACCCATTATGAAACCAAATTGAGCCAACCTACAATTTTAAAATCAGAACAGAAATACGGATAGGTTACTCCAAGATTATTTATCAGAGCGCCCTGGACATGTCAAGATCCCAGACGGATATGCGAAAGCCCAACTAGAGGATTTCTCCCAAGTGTGTGTGCGCGCACGCGCGTGTGCACACTGTTAAGAGTCCCACGTCGGACAATAGATGGCATGAACATGTGTTTATAAGTGGGGGCAATCCTCACTCTACCAACCGGTTTTGTAGGGTTGAGTTAGACCGACCACATTGCTTAACATGGTATCAGAGTCTGGTTTAAGATCCGGTGGACCCACCATTTATTTTCACGATCCAGATGTCCAGTCCTGAGCATGAGGGGGTGTGTTAAGAGTCCCACATCGGACAATATATGGCATGAACATGTGTTTATAAGTGGGGGCAATTCTCACTCTACCAACCGGTTTTGTAGGGTTGAGTTAGGCCCGACCACATTTCTTAACACACACATACATACTCCATAAAACAGTTACATCGGTTGCATAGAATCTTCATAAGGAAGCATGATAAAGAAAACTGGATATTACTGAAAACAAGTTAAATTAATATGTAGATCCTAATTCGTTTAGGACCCGTTTGTTTTTGGCTTTTTTTAAAAATGATGTTGTGTAACATATTTTAGTGTAAAGAAATTTTTCATAAAAGTTTCAAATGAAAATTTGGTTTGAATAGTTATTCTTAAAATGTCATTTTATGTATTTCATCATTTTATCAAAACTTTTTTTGGATATCAAAATTTCAAAAAATCAATTAATTTTGAAGTTATTTCAAATAGTTTTTCATAAAAATCACTTTTGAAATACAACTTTTTGAAAAAACTATGATTTTGACTATGTTATTATTTTCAATAATGTATATTTATGTTATAGTATGTCAAAATTAGTCTTTTGAATTATCAAAAACAAATTTAGAAAAACTTGTAATATTTTGAAAAATATTTTTGTAGAATCCATTTTCAAAAATACAAATTAAAAAAAAAACCATTTTTTTAAAGCTAAAACAAATTGGCCCTGAATCTATAGATCCTAATACGTTTTCAAAAAATTTCAAACAGGTTCTTTATATTTTAAAATCTTTAAATGGGTCCTTATAGTTTCAGCCTTTAACTGGAGGCTGGATTCAGGGACCCCACAGTAGGTTTTTGAAAGGGAATCCATTTATAGCTTTAATAATATTAGAGTCCAATAGAAAATTCACGTAAGAAAAAGGAGGAATCGGCAATTTAAACTCCAAAAAATAATATTGGGTAAGAGCACTGACCCTGACTTGTTGCAGGAGTTGCTGAACTTTGGGTAGGACTGGCAACCATGCTGCGGTTGCTTCCAGTGCCTGCAGTCACAGCATGACTAGCCAATGTGCGACAGAAACTTGCATAACGTCGCAGACGGGTAATAAAATGTGAAGCTAAATCAAGAATCGAATCAACATAAGCCTGTAAAGTTAAAAACAAATGAGAAACGAGAACTACAGACAATCAAATGTAGAACAACCTCAGAGAACAACTCACAAAGAAACAATAAACTCTAAAGGGTTCCATCATGTACAAACACACTCAGATAGAATAATAAGCATCTTCGTTTACAAAAAGCATAATTAAATGCAAGCATTCTAAAATTTAAATAACCAGTACTACTAATCCTGCCAAACCCAAGGAAGCTATTCCGAAATTTTTGAGTTTATGAACTATATGCATATGCATTCTCGAAAATGATAAAATTATAGTTTATCACATTCATTCATGATAAAAACATACGGAAAAACCAAAGCCGCACATCAAAGTTTATAAAGAACACCTCTCATCTTACAAGCTAGTTTTGTAAGGATGAGTCCGTCCAATGCAAAAGGCTGACATAGTGCCAGAACCCCCTATTTGTGGGCCGAATTTTTTTAGAGTTTATGAACTATATGCATATGCATTCTCGAAAATGATAAAATTACAGTTTATCACATTCATTCATGATAAAATCATACGGAAAAACCGAAGCCGCACATCAGAGTTTATAAAGAACACCTCTAACCTTACAAGCTAGTTTTGTAAGAATGAGTCGGTCCAATGCAAAAGGATGACATAGAACCAGAGCTTACCCATAGTGCCAGAACCCCCTATCTGTGGGCTCATATGAAACATTTATCCCAGCCCAGTATGGAAATTTATGATAAGAAAAAAAAAAGATGGAAAAAAAAAAGGGAATGCTGATGTGGCAGGGGATGAGGAGTGCATGTTTTCGAACACATTAACTGGAGAGAGAAGAGGGATCATTGAGAAAATTTCAGTTACGATCTTAGAAGGTTTGGGCAGAGATACCTTCCCTGAAAGAGCATTGCTATGAAGATATGGGATCTGCTTATCTACTGCATTTGTCCTTTTTTCATCATTGATAGTACATTGTTTTATTCCAGGATAAGTACATTTTAATTAGTTTTTTCTATATCATGTGTGATGTTGTGATTCTGGTATGCAAAAATATTATCCATGCAAGCCTAACACCGTTGGGCGTGAGGGGGTTTATCAGAAAAAACCCAAGTCTCACAAGAAATGGTACCCCGTATCTTACAAGTTGATTTTGTGATGATGAGTCGAACTCGATCTAAAAAATCTAATTAGAAAATCAACAAGATTTTGCAGCAGAGAAGCACGGGAGAGAAAGGAGACGCTAGCCAAAGACAGCCAGCCTGAGATAACTGGTAGTCGGAGAAAGTTGGTTGAAGAACCAAGAGAGGAAATGAGAAACTGAGATTTAAGCCTCGGTTTCAAACCTGAGGGGGTTCTAGTTCTAGTTTTTCTTTCAAAATCCAAGAAAAGCTCAAACATTAATTTTGTAGGGCTTTTTTGAAATTTCAGTTTGCACTTTCGGTGTGGCACAAATATGCCACAATTCCTGCATTATTTGTTGAGGAAACGGTCACAATGTTCGCAATAATGAACCGCAAAACTACGAAGGCAACTGCAGCAGCTAAAGGCCACGACAAGCCTTTACGCGGCTGGCCACTACAAGCCTTTACACGGCTACTGCACTTGGTTGATAACTCTAGCGGTTAAGGCATATAGCAGCTAATCACAAAACCACTACCATGATAGTGGAGCACAGTATTGTGTGAAGTATCATGTCACATCTTGTTAAGTGAAGATAGTGGCTTGATTTAAGGGATGTGCAAAAAGCAGATAAATTGCATATGTCAGCTGCTATGGTTAGCAAACCATTAAATCCCCGTTTTCACCCACTTTTATTGAACTATCCCCCAGTTTTTTTTCCCCCACCAGAATGAAAACGGGGCTTGAAACCCTACATTATTATTCAAAGAGTTATGCAGATTGGTGCTCCCTCTCCTCATCACTCCTACAGTAGGAAATACAATTTTCCAATGAGAGGCTGGGACTTACGTATTCTGCTGGTGCAACTGAGACATCATCTCAGTCACACCCAAGCCAACACAGCATTTCATGTCCTCAAATGTAGTCTCTTTTCATCATAATGGACTTGCTCCTTATACCTTATATTGACACTGGTAGTATCTTGATATGGGTCTTGCTAACTTGTGAGTTAAGGAATCCAAAAGTGGAACTTCACCATGGAAAAAAACAATATTTTGACTTTTAAAAGTTGATTGCACGGCTTTTAAGAAGAATATTACTATATTGAGTTGCTTAACTTGTGCCCTAAGGGCTAATTGGGCATAAGATAGCATTTTCCTTTTTATATTTGAGCATTTATTGTGTCAAGTACAGTTACAGTTCTTTTGTAATTTCTGGCTAGCATTTTTGCAGTTATCCATTAACACCGCTCAAAGATTGACAACTATGCTATTGCAAGACTGAAGAAAGCATAGATGAGAAGTATGCTTAAGGACAAAGACCAACAATGAAGCAAACAAATTGCATTTTATATTCAACAACAATCAAGCTTTATCCCACTAAATGGGGTCGACTACATGGATCAACTTTTGCCATAATGTTCTATCCAAAACCATGCTTCTATCCAAATTGTTAATCTCGAGATCTTTCTTAATAACTTTTCTTATAGTCTTTCTAGGTCTTTCTCTTCCTTTAATTGTTTGACTTCTCTCCATCTGATTTATCCTCCTTAACACAGAATCTACAAATCTTCTCTCTACATGCCCAAACCATCTTAAGTCTATTTACCACCATCTTCTCTACTGTAGGTGTTACCCTAATACTCTCTAGTATTTTCATTTCTAATATTTGTATTTTGGTAGGATCAATTTAGCATATAGGGGAAAAGTAAACCGTACACAGAATTATTTAGGAAAGAAGTTGAATATGATTAAGTACTAGAGTTCAAATGGGATCTAGTAGTACAAGAAATGCATAAAAAAGAGAAAATGGAAAGCTGAAAAAGAGGCACTTCAGAGGCCTATTTCTCCTAGGAGGATTTCTCCACTCAAATATGCATACTGAAAATGGAACCTTTCCTAATGATTTATTCTCTTAGATCTAGATTCTCTCTCCATGCAGCTGTAGCCACATGGCCAAGCCATGTGCAGCTCTAACAGAATTTGTTTTATGTGTGATTCATTCCTCCCTCTCTCCTCTTACTTGTCCTCTCATAAACCTTGCCATATCTACCATATTTTATATTAAAAAATAAAAAATTAGAAAAAACACAGGTTTCCATACTGTAACCAAAACAGACCTGAACAGAAGGAATTAATGCAGGCTCAACAGCCATTGTTTCAGGGTCAATGTTGGATAATGTTTCGCTAGATGCTTGCCAAAGCTCGGGCACTAATGCTGAAGAATTTATTAATGCAGACTCAATCCCTCTCCCGAGCATATCCAACAACAACCTGGCTTGCATATCTAGAACCATGGCCCTGACCTCTTGGGCATTTGAACCTTCCAGTAGCCTACACTTTATCCTGTCAAGACTCTGCAAACATATAGAAACATGTTCATTTAGGTTAAAAAGCTGCAACTTAGAAAAGACAAAATAGCATGCCTATCTGAAAATACTACCTTAAATAGAAAAAAATCAATATTGTCTTTATTATAATGAGAATTCTCGCATCTAAAAAAACATGGACATTAGACAATTGGACCTTAGATTATGTGGAATTTGAAAATTATATATTCACACTTAAATCCACATGGGAGTTTTAGAAGTGTTTAACATTTAACTGACATCAAACATCAAATTTAGCTCCCAATCATCTACAAGTTATTTAGTCAGGAATGAGAACAAACAATACATGATGCTCGATGATGTAGAAATTTCAACAAAGAAATAAAAGATTGCCATTAATAGATATTTGTTTGAGTCCAGGTTATGCAATATCCATAAAAAAACTCAACCAACAGTTGATATGACACAAAGTCTATCTCATCACAGTTAACAGAAAAACAATGAGACCGCTAAATATGAATAAGTTGAATAACACATAGGGGAAAACTATGAAAGCAACTAACAGAATGCTGAAATAGTGATAGTTAAAAATAACATACAGGACCATATTGTTGCCTGTGCTGCACAGAAGGAAGAGAATGGAAATCCGCATCCAAAACCGCAATGACGCTGTTAAGTGAAACTGAAACCAGGAAAAGAAAGTACTGCTTGTCAGTGTATGTGAATATACTATTCTAGTAGCTGCTGTTAATTCTAGCATATCTGCAAAAGATTGCTGTCCAAGCTTAGTCCGTTAGAGTGTGTATTGTTTTACACGTGCATCTTTCTTCTCTGCCTAGTCAGCATAACTGACTCAAAGTTGGTTACACTTACTTAGCCATCACATGGTGTAGGTTAAGCTTTCATTAACTTTGTAACTTGATCCTCAGATCAAGATATTCATTTCTATCAATACAAGAAGGTTTTCCCCCTCTCCCTCTCAAAATCTCACTTTAATAATGAACAGCATCAAGAAGGTTTAGCCATTAGATGGTATAGATTTTGCAGATGCTGTTCAACAGCTAAGCTAACATAAGAAATGTGAAATCATATCATTGTTCCTTTCTCAAGAACAAACTAGAACAGATCAAAAAGAGAAAGGACTTTGTTGTGAAACTTTGTGATGATAGAAAATAATAGAAAGGAAAATCTCAAATTGGTTTATGATTGATGAAAAATCACTAGACTGTATAGAGGGGAGATTACAGAAGTTAGTCTCAAATGCAGGGAAATAGATATTCATAAAGAGTCTTCACAGATTATTATATATATTCTGCGGTAGAAGGTTTTAGCTGGAAATGAAATGAGTCAGTACAATGTACAAACAGCATTAAGTAGAAGATGGCAGGAAATATGGCTTACATAAGTAACAGCAAGAAAAAAAATTAACCATGTAAGTGCACACAGATTACATTGTCTCATGACTTTCCTGAGGGAGTGTTCGTTGTCTCAGGACTTATCTAAAGGACGCCCTGATAAAATGGATGAGCAAGTCTTTAGAGTAACATTGTTTGCATTATGGGTGTCATATAGGTATAGTGTTGAGCATTTAATTGGAAATAGTTAGGGAGGAGTTATTATCAATGGTAGACAATGCACAGGGTATCATGAGATTACTGAAAAAGTCATCCTTCCAGCAGCACCTCAGAGGAATCCCGACTTATCCCAAGTATACTTGCTAATAGTATGTTCTTAGTTATGTCAGGAACTATGAGAAGGATTTTGAGAAGTGAAGGAGTGTGTACTTTGCAAAAAAGAATGAAAAGCTGTTGAGCCAACAGATGCTAGAAAGCAAAACAATGACCACTCTTGTTCAGATACTATAAGGTGAACTGTGAAAGAAAGTACTCGAAAGGAAAGGGAAATCTAAGATAACTCATTAATGCAAATTTACCATGGAGAAGGGAAATTACAAGATTATTTACTATGCAGAGAGCTAGCTATTTATAAGCGTCCTAACAGATAAAGAGGATACATAAATAATCTGCAGCAGGATGGGCAGGCTGCCAGTGAGCCTATCGCAACAGATTCTTGGCAATTAGCTAACACGTCAAACAGTAACTGAATTCAGTTACAACTAAATTACAGCAAGCTTCGCTAACTTATTTTACTCTAACAGACTTAAGAACAAGCACATCCTTACCGATACCATCCTCAGCAGCACTCTGGGTGCAGCCGACAGCATCCCACCAATCAACTCCAACCAATAGGCTCCACCAAAACCTGGTTTACTAGCAGATATTAGTGAATCCATGCAAATCATTGACAAAATAAACAAATCACAACTTCCACTGCCTGACAGTCAACCAAAAATCAGCAGAAGCTGTAAATTTAAAGGAGTATAAAGAAACAGATAATTTATCGCATAATAAAAAGGGATAGAGTATTCACCTTTCAGCAATTGCACGCTCCCATGTTGATGAGTTGGCCTTTACTTGACTAACAGGAATGGGAGGAAGAAGAACCCGAATTATTTTCAATATTGTATAATTATTACTAATATCATGCCAAACAGAAGCTGAACAGCAGCTTGTTGATGAAAAAGCAGGAGCAGCAATTGCAGATCCAACTGCAATTTGATAGTTGTCTACAGGTGTGAAATTTGGACCAGAGAAGATATGGACGCCACCCCGAAGGAAAGCAATCGCAATTTCACCACCATGAGCAGAGTAAACAATTCGAGCAAGTGTCCTAACATCACTTGGAAGATCAAATGGATCAAAATTGACCCGCTTTGATTTATCCGGAATATGTTCAGATGCCTTTTGCACATCAGTAGCGATTCCAATACCAGGCGATTGATGGTTCTTGAAATCATTTGTTGGAGGTATGCTCAGGTTCACTTTGGATTGCCAAACAGTTTGCATAGGAGGTTGTCCACCCATACTAGAGGTAGGGCTCCCAAATATAGGATGGAGAACAACATGCTGTAAAGACGATTCCCAGCGTTGCACTCTCCATCCTGTAACTGAAGGGCCTTCATCTGGATCAGAAGGAGACATGTACTGTCCTGTAAAGGTACAATCAGTTGTGCATCATTTTTCGGTTCAATTATCTGCACACATGAAACCTCTGGCATAATATTCTGTCAAACATGCATTATAATCAGCATTATCACAACCTCGAGGTGAAAAAGCTAGATAGATAAATATTGTAAGCTTGAATCAGTGAGTGGAAAGTGTGAAAAAAAGTGAAAACGAGTAAATGTAGAGAATGAGAGAAACTTCAGTCCAATCTGAAATATATTTTTTTTACATTCATAAGAATAACCTGTGCCTCTATTTATAGAGGTCTGCATCCAGTTTCAGTTTATAACCTAAAAAACAGAAAATATAACCAACAACCAACGCTAACAGAAAGAAGAAAAAAAAGAGTATTATGAGCAAGAGGCTGGGATAAACATAGATAACTAAGATAACTAAGGATAAACATGACTGAACTTCACAGAACCTACGACTCCATGAAAAGAAAATTACAATAAAATTCTATGAAAATTACAAAATTAAAGAGGGGGCAAAATACAATAAACAGGGAAGGGGGCAAAAGGGAAGGCAGCAAAAATTTGAAAATGGAGGAATAAAATCACAACCAGCTGAGGCACATGTTAACAACAAAATAAGTTGCAAACTTGTTTGAAGAAAACTAGAAGAAAAAATATAGTCAGAATCAGCTTCATACCCTCAACTATCACAACAGCTATCACAGAACCAGCACAAGTTGGATCAAAGGCCACTGCTGTTACACCAGAACCCCATGTAGTGGTTGCTGCAGACTGAGCTGCAGCTTCAGGACTCACATATGCTGAAAAATTTGAAACCGGTGAGCAGTATAGAAGTAAAGCATCGCTGATGTTTATGTCAGTCAGCTTGTTTCCTTGCTTTGCTTGAGATAATAGATAATCTTGCCAAGAAAATAAATATGCAGCTAGAGGTGCAAAACCAGCCCAGTTGGGTGGGATAAGTGGCGGGACACCAGGTGTGACACTTGTCATCGGAGTTGCTTGGAAGTTTCCAGGACCAGGTGTGACCTCCCAGACAACGATGGTGGACGGGTTAACAATTGGTACACCTGCAACATGCATGGCACCACTATCTGTTATGATGGCATCACCAGCCATAATGCCACTGGGCCCACAACCTAAAAGTCCTTTACTGGTGTAAAACCACCTCGGTGTTGAGCCATTCTGACTAGGAGGCCACTGGGACCAGTGAAGTTGAACTGAGCCAGATGAGAACACAGAACAGACGCAGAGAAAATTGGGCCATCTAGCTGAAATAAAATAACTGCATGCATCAGATACACAAGGATATACTACTTAATCTGTATGTAATGAATGACCAAGCAATGTGCAATCAAATAGAGGAAACTCAATATGCCATTGTGGCATCTAAGTGGTACTTTTTTTAATGGCAATCTAAGTAGCAGTAAAATTTCAGATAGAGGTGTGACAAGTAACCAATACAAGTCAAACATCGGCACGTGCAGGTGTCTAACACTAGAAGCAGTACGAAATACATACAACATGTATCAGAAAATCCATTCCAGTATAGGAGCATAAAAAAATTGTTGGCTCTGACACGGTGTGGACACAACTACAACACCTAGCCAATACTTTCATTCGGCTAGACATTAAAAGGGACATAGCGTTAGGTCTATTATTGGTAAACATTATAAGTGGCTGCCTAGAGGTTTGGTATGCAGCAGTTATGTCATTAGACAGTTTTGAATAAATAGGGGTACTGAAGGAAAAATCAGTAGGTAATTAATTGGGACTGGATATTGGTTGGGAGAGACCAAGCCCTCTAATTCTTGGAAGGGAGAGAGACCAAGACTAATAAAATTTTTGGAAAGGAATTGCCTTGCAACCAGATACTATCTCTTTCCTGGATTTCTATGTTTTGTTGTAAAATAACTTATCCTCTATTCCGAGACAGCAGTCCAGAAATTGTTGTAATTAAAATCAGATTATTACTATTAGGTTTCTATGTTTCATACGAGTTTCTATCATATGGCTGCCGGCTTGTACCATAATTTTGAATTCTGAATTCTTTATGATGTTGATGGCATCTAGTAAGTGAAAGGCCTTAAATTGATTAGATTCTTTTTAGCTTTTAGATAGTAGATGATTGTATTGAAGGTGAAAGGGGCATAGTTCAATATCTTAATGTTAAGAGTCTCACGTCACAGCAAACCAGATATGACCAAAACATTTGCTTTTAAGTGGGGGAAATCCTCACCTTACGAGCAGTTTTGTAAGTTGATGTTGGACTTTCCGCCTTACTTGCAGTCCGCCCTAGTCGCCTTAATTGCGGTCCGCCCTAGTCACCTTAATTGCGGCTCTTTGGCTTGCTTCATTGCAGCCCTTAACACCTTCATTGTGTTAGCTTTGAAGGGGTGGATTTAATCCCACATTGCTTAGATATGGCATGTGTTGTGATTATAAGTGGGGCAATTATCACCTTTAAGTCAATTTTTTAGGGATGAGTTAGACCCAACCAAAATTTTGAGATGGTATCAGAGCCTATCCTAGATCTATTGTTGGGCTTCCGAATCGTCCACGCTTTGGGCTCATTGAGGCCCAAGCGTGAGGGGATGTGTTGGACTTTCTGCCTTAATTGCAATCCGCCCCTAGTTCCCTTAATTGCAGCTCTTTGGCTTGCCTCATTGCAGCCCCTAACACCTTCATTTTGTTAGCTTTGATCGGAAAAATAGCAAGTGTACTATTTTGCCTTTTGCAGTAATAATGAGGAAAGTTTTCCGAATGTCGATCTCAAGGACTGCGCGCAAATATTGAGTTCAATTAAACAAAAGTTTGAGTTTGTTTTGCAAATTATGGATTAACAGTGAGTAAATATGATAGAATAGTAAATTGATTTTCGCAAATACGAGAAACATGCTAGGGCAAGGTGTATGATTTGTCATGTAACAACTCTGAATCCTTATTTCACTTACAAGTTCAAAATAATCAATTGCCGGTTCTTTAGTCTATTTTCCCCTAAATCCTTAGTAGAAGAACCTCGGATCATTCATCCGAAATTCTAAGTCCCTAGAAATTTATGATGAGATCAAGCATTTGTGTTATCAAGAATGTACCGGTAGCTATAGGGTATCCATAGTCCTAGGTGATATCTACTTTAGCGTAATCGCACAAAAGTATTAACAATGGCGGTCCAACCTAATTGTTAATCAGTAATCAATCCCTATTGCTCCGACAGAGAAGGCATTAGAAACATTGAACGATTAAATTGATTAAGAAAAACAAATATATAACTGAAAATAAGAAATCAATGCTAGGGGGTGTCCCTGATTTGACTCTGTAAACGACTTTGATTTCTTATTTTCAGTTATATATTTGTTTTTCTTAATCAATTTAATCGTTCAATGTTTCTAATGTCTTCTATGTCGGACCAATAGGGATTGATTAACGATTAGGTTGGACCGCCATTGTTAATACTTTTGTGCGATTACGCTATAGTAGATATCACCTAGGACTAGGGGGTTTATCATTATTACTTGAGATCGACATTCCTTGAGATCGACATTCGGGGAAGTTTCCTCATTATTACTGCAAAAGGCAAAATAGTACACTTGCTATTTTTCCGATCAAGTTTGTAGGGATGAGTTAGGCCCAATCCAAATTCTGAGATGGTATCAGAGCCTATCCTAGATCTATTGTTAGGCTTCCAGCATCGTCCACGCTTTGGGCTCATTGAGGCCCAAGCGTAAAGGGGTGTGTTGGACTTTCTGCCTTAATTGCGTCTGCCCCTAGTCGCCTTAATTGCGGCTTTTTGGCTTGCCTCATTGCAGTCCCTAACAACTTCATTGTGTTAGCTTTGAAGAGGTGGATTTAATCCCACATTGCTTAGAGATATGACTTGTGTTGTGTTTATAAGTCGGGGCAATCCTCACCCTACAAGCCGGTTTTGTAGGGATGAGTTAGGCCCAACCCAAATTCTGAGAGTTGAGTTAGGCCCTACCAAAATTCTAAGATGCTATCAGAGCCTATCCAAGATCCGTTGGGTCAATGTTATCAAATTTCTACGAGAGGACCACCCACCATTTATATCCATGCAACAAGCCCAATAGTATTGGGTGTGAGGGATATGTTAAGAGCCCCGCGTAGAATGAGATAAGGAGAATTAGAAAGATAAGCTTGAGTTGACCTAAGTGAGTTTATTTAGTGAGTGTTATGTATATTTCAAATGTAGTAAGTCATTATAGTGGGAAATACCTTCGCTTTAAGTTTAAAACTAGGGTTCAAACTCAGTGTAGGACTTTTGTAGTGTTGCTTTTATATTTTCCACAAATCTTCTTACATTTGCAGTGTTGCTTTTATATTTTCCACAACTCTTCTTGTACTTTAGTTGAGTTGGCGTGATAGAGAGACAAGTTACAAGCTTTAATATTTAACAATATTTTTATTTGGGAGCCTCATTTTTTGGGGAAAAAATTTTTTTAGAGGCTTAAAGCAAGGGCTTGGCCTGATGCAGAATCCCCCCTTTTTCATAAAGATACAGAACCCATGAATTTCACATGATTTTGTATGATTTTCCTCCATATAGAAACTTGTTTTTTGGTTCTAACCTCCATAAAGAAACTTTATTAATCATAAAAGCAAATATTATAAACATTAAATCTCAAACCCACAAAAAAAGGAAAAAGTTATGCCGATGGTTTCTCATATGGTATACCATGTCAAAACAAGGAATGTTATTGGCAATAATTCAAAAGAAACATAAAAGGTAGTATTTCATCTACACATTGCATTATCACCAGAACTAACAAAGCTTCTGAGGTAAGAAAAAAAGCAATCAATCGGAGTTAACGAGCTTTTAGCCCAATTGGCAATAGACCAATTTTTAAAACTTGAATCTGATGTCAAAGGTTTAACGATTCAATTGGGCAACTATTTCCCTCCCCAAAAGTTACATCTCTAAAGTACCCTAAAAAAGGCAAACAGAAACAATGTACACAGGATAAGTCACCTGAAGTTTGAGATTGTTGTGAAAGAAACTTTTCCTCAAATGTAAGCTTCGGATTTGTAGCACCACTCGATTTGGATGATAGCCACCTATACTATTTTTTTCATAAAACAGCTGCTTCAGACTAAAAATGAATTAACGAATAATAGTTTTGCTCAATTTAAATCATATGGGATTAGAATCTCCACAATTTTTAAAAGAAGATAGCCAAAGTATACTATTAAGATTAATTGTACAGAGGATAAATGGAGGGATCGATTACATATGTAAGGACGTGACAGAAGAGAAGAGAAATAGTGATAAATAACACTTTCCTATTTTTTCTTCAATTTAAGAGTAAGCAAAACTTGGTTCTAACTTCTCTCAAGCAATACTTAAGATCTTTATCAAGAAAATAGATTCATATTACAATTTAAACTATGGTCTATCATACTGAAGAATGATAAGAAGATGCAGATGCTAATCTATTTGGTCAGAGGTTTAACCGTTGAGAGAATTTAGCTGTGAACTACTAGTACCAAATAAGGAAAGAAAGGAGACGAGAGGAGAGAAAAAGAACATGTATCTATCCCTTACATAACCACAAAGGTTCATGGGGAAAGATAGACAAATCAAAATATACACAAGATTTCATCAAAAGAAATGTACGGAATAGTTGAACATGACATCAGCATAAGACTAGATAGCTGCATACCGGAGACACTCCTGATAGCCACTTTGTAGCAACTGCAATATCTTGCCGCCACTCATGCTCACGCTGCCAAGAGCTAGCATCACGGACAAGATTAGCTGGACCCTGAATGAAGAAACTATCAGATGAACCAATATATAACACAGAGAGGTGGGAAACAAGAGCTAGCACTAACTTGAGAAGGTTGAGTCCAAATAGTGACCCTCCCGTGGAAATTCGCAACCAGTAATGCCCGGGGACAAGAGGTGGGGGACCATTCTATAAACTGAACTGAATCGCGAGGAGAATCTGCAGAAGATGTAATTATAAAATATTATATTTCCAAAAACAAAACTGCAAAAGACATGTCAATTAAGCACCATCATATTTAAGGGAAGAGAAAAATGTATGCATCAGCTAACTTCTTGTTTACTTCAGCTATGCCATATAGTCATATACAGGACCTCAAAATCCAGTTAAGGAATTCTAGTATATAGTATATATTTAGATTTAATTTGGCTATTTATTGTAATGGTATTCTTGCTAAAATCGTAAAAGACATCATGTGTAAGCTGGTGGTAAAGGGGTGAGCCTTGACCCTCTTCAGATCTGAACATGCTGGAACCCTTGGTCTGGCTCTTTTATTCTTTACATCTTGGTAAGTGTAATAACAATTATAACTATAAATTTTCATTTTCCATCAGAGAAACCCTTCAGAATTGCATGTTAATCAATTAAACTACCCCTTTGATATCCTATTTAAATGGAATGAGATAAAAGGGACGTGCCTTTAATAACTTTCCAACCGTAATTCAATTAAAACAAGTGGGCAGAGAGATATATAGTGACGTATGATGTTCATAAAGTTTAAATATATCAAGGATCTCTCCGAGTTTAATCATTGTTGTTAAAAGCGGCAATAGTGATGCTCTAGCCCTATTGCATAGTGGAATTAGAACAAATTGATAATGCTCCTGGATACGCTACTTTGTACAAAAGAATGTAAAATGGCAGCCGTACCGGTGCTATAACACTGTTTCAGAGTGGAATTTGAACAACCCACTATTTTTCATGATTCACAGTTGACAACTCTGATTCAATGAACTAGTATTCAAGAATTACAAAATGTCTTCTTTAGGAAGTACAGGTCTTAACTGTTACTTTGTCAAAATAGCCAATGCGACGTTTTTCGGTCAGATTGCCTTGTATTAGCATAAGCTTTAATTTAATAACTCAAGAGGGACTATGAAAACTTCTCACCAGTTTAACTTAAACTATATAAAATTGTCATAAGATATAGTAACAATGTAACACACATGATCTAGAATGAAACAGTGACATAAAAATACCTGCTATGACATTGAATACTGCACATTCAGTCGGCCTCTCCGGAATCACAATATGTATAGGGATCCAAAATGGTGGATTAGCTGTAGAACTATGAAAAATGATAAACGCTGATAAGCATTACAAATAGAATTAAAAAACTTGAAATGTTTATACACTAAACTAATTATGTTGACTTTGTCAATAGAGTATGATGCAAATCAATTCTTCTTTTAAATTTCTCTTCAATTATCTTTATGTGTATAACACATCATAAAATTTCCAGGAAGGGACCTTGTCCAAATGGGTTAAAAAAACACAAACCTTGGAATTCTGGCACATGTTTCGGCGGCACAAGCTACTGCATTTAGTTTTCCACACCAGGAAACAGCACTGCCGACAAAGGAAAAACAAACAAAATTTATTATACGAAAACTATTTACCATATTAAACCTGAAATAGGACACAAACAAATTTACTTTACTGAAACTCAATGCAATACCAAAATAAACAGATGTCAGAATCTAAATTATATCTAAATAGATTCTTAAAGTATCACCGTGTAGAGTAAGAAGAAGCACAAATAACCAAATTTGGTTCAATATAATGGTAATAATTTTTTAAAAAATGAATAAATTAAATATAATCACAAGTGTAGTGCAAGTGCCCGACACTGACACGTCTTTTCTTAGAGGTGCCGGTGCTACATAGTTCAATATAATCAATTCCAACAACTAATTGACCCAACTAGCAACAGAGAGCTAAAAGCTCACATTGAATTTTTAAAACAAAGAGTCATAAAACATATCAAAGCAGTGCTCATGCTAGATATCATTCTCAAGTGGAACTAAACCAAATTATCAATCAAGTTACAATCCATTTCCAGCTCAATCAGTTCATAAATGATAGCAAAGTAAAAATCTACCATGAAGCAATCAACATATGCAAAAACTTAAACATAAAAGAAAAGATATTTTCCTACCTGAAATTGCGACATAGTTCAGGAACACTCATCTTGTGCTGCAAATTAGACTTAGACTGTTTAAGCCTGATAGTGAAAACAGTGGAAGGACTAACCGAATCCTCCTCCATTGGTTGATCAATTGGAGACTTGTCCTCTTCAACAACCTCTTGCTCTTCAGCAGAGACCGATTCGTTGTAATCGGATTCGTTAGGCAGTTCTTGAGATTGGGGCATAGAGAGAGCCAAGGGCTCGGCTTCTTCAGAGTCTTTAGTGGCTGCAGTAGTTTGATTCATAGCGAATAATAAAAAGCCCTAATTTTTATATATAGAAAAAATCTAGAGAGAGAGGGAGTGGTGGAAGGAAAGTCGTAATTGAAGGCGACAGATAACACTATTGAGAGTCTAGAGAGAGAGAGTGAAAGTGGGGTTAGTGGGAAAGGGGAGAAAGAAGGGATGGGATTTGGGGATTTTTTTAATTTAGTATAATAAAAAGGAGGGATTTTGAGGTTAGGGTTTTTGTGCTGGGTGTAGTGGTGGACAAAGCACAGACAGTGATTCCAGATTTGCTTTCTTGCGTCTGAATTGTCTTGTTTTTGCGTTTTTTTCACTTTTTTAACCTTTTGGTCGGTTGAGGTTTGTGGAAGTGTGATTCGTTGTTTTGTGTTGTGGCGTGGATTCAATCTCTGGAGTTTGTTTCCAACAAGAAACTTTAAAACCAGAAAAATGCATATAAGTGTGTGTTTCTTTTTATGGTATAGTATAGATTCTCGTGTCTTTTTAATTTAACGAGACTCAAAATAAAAATAATTTAGATAAGAATTTTCTTAACTCTAAATATGATTGTGCTCGACTTTTTAATCTCAATTTTTTTTATGGTTAGGGTTGGCAATGAACCAAACCAACTCGAAGATAGTTCGAAATTCGACTCGACAATTAAATCGTTGAACTAGGTTCATGAACCAAATGAGTTGAGTATGAGCGAAAAATTAAGTTCGTTAACTAAATGAGCTGAACTTGAACTATACATAGTTCGACTCGTTAGGTTCATGAGTCAACTCGATTACATATGAAAAGAATTATATTGTCTTTAAGATTAGGTTTAAATATTTACTTCAAATATTAGACGAGGTGAGTAGGTTTTGAATTAGTAGATTTCGAAGATAAAGTTAAATTTCAATATGATAACTTTTATTTTATTTTAATATTTTATTTAAAATATATTTATTTATTTAAAATGTCAAATATACTAAAATATATATATATATTTAAAAAAATAGTTTTTAAGTTCGTGAACCATGTGAGCTGAACCTAATGAGATGAACCTAACGAGTCGAACCGAACTGTTCGTGAACTTATAACGAGTCGAGTTTGAGCTTAAAAAAAAGTTCGTGTCAAACTCGAACTCGAACTCGAATTCGAACAATTCTTAACGAGTCGAGCCGAGCTGATGTGAGTTCGACTCGACTCGACTCATTTCCAGCCCTATTTATGGCAAATATATGTCTCCTCTCATGCCCTAGAAGTGTTTAATTTTAAGACGGTTGTTTTGATGTCATTATTATCACAAATATCTTTAATGTCATTTATTATCATAAATATTTTTACCTTTTAATCTTATGATCATTTTAAACTTGTTTTTATTAGGACATTTTTGGGATATAGGTCATGTTACATTGTGTAATAGAGATGGTGGGATGGAGTTGTTGAAAACCAACAAAATAAAGAATTTGATTTTCTTTATGGTTATCAAAATCCAACTAGTCAAATTAAACACCAAATAATTGGTTGAAAAGTAAAGAAAAACCAATGTTTTGTACAAATTTAATCTAAATTATCTCTGGTATATATACAAGAGATAGCAATAACATACTTGATGTGAATTTGAAGGTGTTGGGTATTCAATTTAATGTATAGAAAGATAATTGGGCAAATGTTTCTTAAGTCTTCATTGGAGTTATCAAATATATTTCTAAAATTTGTAATAAGGTTAAGAATGTAGACATAACTAAATTTTTGTGTAGAGATTTTCTTGATTGTACCATGAAAATACCACAAAAAAGAATGACAATTTTTCAACCTGGCCCTAAAATCATCTTTTAAGATATTTCTAGCTTTAATGATAGACTTTTGAATGTATGACTTCTTACACATTATCCTTTGGTTTGAAGAAGTTGAAATCAACCTAATATAATAATCAAATAGATGCATGTCCTAACTCCTTATGAACTCTCACTTATATTATAGTGTAAACTCTTACTTTATATTAACAAGACCAATGAACTCTCTCAATATTTTGAACTCTCACTTTATATTAACAGGACAAATGATCAATTTAGTTGCTTTTTTCGTGCCACACTTCTTGAATTTAGATTATATAACAAATGATATGAGTGAATGGTAATTTATATTAAATTAGTAATTTACTCGACGATTATGAACAATGATGATATAGGATTTATTTGACTTGGTCGAGGTCTTCGTAAAGGAGACATGTTTTCACCTTACTTGTTTATTATTGCTGCTAAGGTGATATACTCTTATCCCTCAAGCAGAATTCCATATATACATTAATACAAAATTGTCTATGAATGTTTATTATAACTCGTATGTATTTTGGTAGTTTTTTATGTTTGGGAATGAAACGCACTATTTGATGTATGTCTTTAAGGTGGTGTATAAGGAAGTTTTTAGCCAAATCATCAATCTTAAAAAAATCAGATTTAATTTTTCAGTTGTAATGTTGCTAAAGATACCATTGTTTATCTCTCGTCAATTACGAGAGTCTCAGTAAATTTAGATTGTGATAATTATTTAAATTTTTTTTCTAATAGGTTGGAAGAAGAATGTTACTTTCATCTACATCAAATACTAAGGTTGGAAGTAGACCACTTCATGGAGTGAGAATATATATTTATTAAATTATGAAAGAAACTTGTGGTTAAGTTATGATCGCGACTTTCTATGTCTAACAAATCTAACTGCAAGTGCACAGTCTATCGCGTAGTAATAATAGATATCGATCCCACAGGGACTCGTAATCAATCTAGTGTTATCGGGTGTTACGGTGTTTAGCTAGGTCAGTTTGGTTTCAAGTTGAATAATGGCAGAATAAATGCGTAAACTAAAGGGAACTAAGGTTTTTCTTAAGATATGAATTTATGAATCGATATGCAATAATTTTGTTCTTCGGGGATTTGACAACTTATTGGCGTATTAAATGTTTTCAAACTTAGTTTAAGAAGAAAATAGTGATTTAAAGACTTTTGTCTCACGATGGTTGTTGACGCTAGTCGCAACTCTAAGGCGGAACGTATGCTTTCGCTATCCCGTTCGGGGTTAAAGTTACCTTTTGAAAATCTCTAAGTTCTAATCCTTTTTAAAGCGCTTTCGCTGTTTTTAAATCGAATGCCTAGTTTTTACTATCTGGTCTTACCTCAGCTGTCGCTTGTTGGTTTGTACCTTAATATGGTTTCCCACTGTCGTGGCAAAACCACCTTAAATAGCTTCTCACTGTCGTGACAAAGATTTATTTAGAATTTTGATTAAAAACTAAAACCATAACTGAGTTTTTGAAAAGAGAAAAACTACGCCAATTATTATCAAATTCCGTCTGAATTATTATTACATATCGATTAAAGTAGTTTAGCTAGACATGGAAATAGAAATGGCAATACATAAATAAAAACAGTAATTAATAACATGCATCATAATGAAAACTGAAATTACGATTAAAATTTAAAACCTGTAAAATATTCCAATTGGCCTTTGGGCAGATCCTCCACAAATGTTGGCAGGATTCTGGTCTTGATGTCAATTGATCGTACAAGGGAAATAGAAATTACAAAATATCAAAGAATGCAGAGAAAGGAAAGAGAAACAAATAAGAATAGAATAATGGAAAGGTTGCTCTGAAGACGAATTGGCAGCACTTCGTTGTCTTGAATTCGGCTCCCTTTTCAGGTCCCAACCTCTTCCTTTTATAGAGGGAGGGTATCTAACGGTTATTCCCTCAGGAAGTGGGTTTGAGGCAGAAAAATAGGAGTTAGTGGCTACACTTTTGGTCTTTGAGGGGAGAAATTGCACGTGACTTCATTCTGCCACGTTCTGGCTGCATGACGGTCGTCATGGCTGTGTGACGGTTGTCACACGCATGACGGTCGTAACAGTTGTGTGACGGTCGTCACATCAGTCAGGCTCGTTTCTGCTGGTTTTTACTTGGTTTTTCATGCATTTTTCACTTGTTTTTGCTCCTTTTCTTCATATTGCTTTGCTTGGACATGTTCTTCGAATACCTGCATAATACTTAGGCAAATAGCATGGAATGCCCCGTATTCAGAGTGAAATCGGTCAAACATTAGTTAAAACATACGTCATTTTATAGATATATTTTTGCGTTATCAAACTCCCCTAAACTTGAATCTTTACTTGTCCTCAAGTAAAAGTTAGAAAAATGTGGCAAACACGCGGCACGCTCCTCCCTTCCGAGAGGTTTTTCTCAAATTACAAGTTAGGAAGTCAAAGACAAAAATCGAAACACACACACAAACGGTGGTGACACTGAGTTGTAGGTCTTCGAAGGCCTCCTTTTATATGCAAGCCCAGTTCCAGTCATGCTACTGCAGCTTGGCATCAAGTCCCTTGCAACAAGTTTTACCCGGTTTGTTCTGGCGCAGTCACATTAAGCCCGTTATCCGTATACTTTCATGGCAAGTCAACCTGTTAGTGGCTATGATTTCTTTTCTATTTCGATTCTTCTTTGCACATAAGCTTATGCTATTGATTTCCAAAGACTTTCTGTACCGTTGGGCTAAATGCTCGGGTGAGGAGCACCTAACTTAGAAGGGACATGTCTCTATACTCGGGCTATATGGATTTTCTTCTTCATGATTTTTTTTTTCATTTTGAGTTAGAGATCACACACACTTATTTGCATCGGTTTCATCGCCTATAAGCATTTAGGATGGTGCTGACTGCTTGTATAAACTACTGGGGGCTACGTTTGAGTAAGAGCTTGAAACTTCGGTACGTGTAGGTAGTGAAACGGACTCGCATAAACTGAAGGTCTAAGGTGTCAGGACGGTAATGGAGTTGTAAAAATTTTCTTCTCGGAATTTCCATACTTGATTGAACTTTGGCGTGTCCTCGTGATGCTTAAAGATTTCTTTGTATAGTCATATGAAACGCGGGGAGTTCATGTAACGGAGATAAATATATATATATAAGAGCTTATTTTCCGAAACCGAAAGTTAAAATTTCTTTAAATTCGAAAAAACAAGTACATTGGAAATAACATG